CTAGTTAAAATAATTTAACTTACAAGTATCAGCATATTGGTTGTGGCAGTTGGAATATCAGTATGTTGATTGCAGTCCATTTCCATTTATCTTACATATCGAAAACGCTAAATTCAATTTGTATATCTACAAACTATATAACTTCCATTTTTGTTGATAATTTGTTTTCTGTAAGCTCAAAATGAAAGATTATATCCATTTACATCTACTCTGTGCTATTAATTTTAAACTAATTGTGATGAATCATGTATGACGGTCCACAGGGGCTTTTAGAAAACACTGATTTATAAAGCTGTTTCTTCTAACTTTGAAGATACACAGTAGTTCTTTTTAAGAATGAAACACATTTATATCAGTGTACTTTTGCCATTTAGATTAATAACATATTTCTTCTGTTAAAAATTATTGATATTGATCGTACAGCCTACTTGTGCCATTCTTTTGAAACTCTTGTGGATGTTTAAAATTGCTGAAAAACTATTTCTCTATCTTTTTTTAGTGATTGAAAATTATATTGAAATTCTCTTCCTTTGACATTTCTTCAGCTAACAAACTATGTTGAACTGTCTGTTCAGTTATAGGCTACAGATGTGATGAACCTTTCCATTTGAACTTCCCCATTCAGTTGACCTCATCTTTCCAAATAAATCCAAGATTACACAGATTTTGGCAACATATTTTTATTGTTAATGGTAAAACAGCAGTGATATTAACTGTGGCTTAGGTCTGTTCGGCTGGCTAATTGTGTTAATATTTTTTTGTAAATTAATTAGCTGCAATTTTAAAAAAATGTTTTTATGTACTGCAACTTGGGTATGTGGTATATGCATGAAATAGTAGTTATTGTTTAATATCTACATATGAATGTTATATGATTCCAGCTCAGACTGTCTTTGGCAAATCAATGTGTTATTGTGCCGAAGAAAAATGAGTATATGAGATGCACGGATTACAGCTCAGCTCTTTGTGGTATTACTCCACCCACTCAGTGATCCTAGAGAATCATTTGACTTCCATGTGTGTGGAAGGAACTGCATTTAAAAGCTGCCATTCATATTCGTAGCGCAGGAGCTAAAATTTCCTCAGAAGCTTTTGAAGTGTTTTATTCCCAGTAGTGGTCACAGTATTTACAGACCTATCCATTTTTCCTGCACCCTGTCATGGCAAAACATGGCACAAAATGATCTTTTCTGTGCGTCATGTGTGCTGTGTAGAGAGCGGGGCACTGCTTCTGCGGAGTGCTGTAGTTTATCCCTTAAGACAGCACTCCTAGTACATATACTGCGTATCAGGAAGACAATGCACTATCATGCAATTGTTTCCTGGATATGGACAGAGAAAGAAGGGGAATCAGGAGAGAAATTACTGAAAGGACGGACTTAAAAAGCATATAAAGGAAGAGGAGGGCCTGTGATTTTCTTTTAGACGTGGAAGAGCTTCTGGGACTTCTGTGATAAATAGTACAGAAACAAAGACATGTCAACTTTAAATTGTGGTTTGTGGCTGTGGTGTTTCATGGAGTGTGTACTTTAGTTTACAGTACATTTCAGAGAAGCTCAGAGAAAGAGAGCAATTAACCCGTAATGCTGACATTTTTATCAGCTGTTAGTCGTTTCCCCTATATGTATGTTTTTCAAATGTATTTTTGACTTCTTCCTTGGGCTGCCTTCTTCTGTACTGTCTTCATAGCTCCTATATGTTTTTCCTGTTCATACAGGCTTTTCTTAAATTGCTACTAGGCAATGTCAGGAGAACATGTTAGCCGATATGACCCTTGCCCCAATCTACTGCTTCAATTCTTGTGTTCTTACATTATTCACAAATGCAATTACTGTCTATTCTACCACATCCTCAGTATGGGTGTCTGAAAATGCCAACATGCAGAAAACTGTAATGGGTTCCAGCTAGTTTGTCAAGGAGGGCTTCCCTCCACTCCCTTTTTTAATTATAGGAAACTAAACTGCCACTTGAATACTCCTATATCTATTTTATAACAATTCTCTAGTATCATTGCAAAAATTGAAATATGCGATAACTTTAGACAGTAAGGAATAAAATTATAGTGCATTATAATTAAAAGAATAGAACTTATAGCTACTCCTTGAAAGCTCCAAAGGCCGTCTAAGGAAAATGTAGCAAGGACAATTCCAGCATTCAAAACTTCAGTCCATTCTTCTCTTGATTGCTAGAAGTCCTTATTGATTCTCAGAGGTCTAGACAGATCCACTCTTAAGTATTGAATTTCATTTTGGTTATTGCACGAGACTTCACACTGAAACCTTTATTTGCAGGATAGTTCTTGAACCATGTTCCTCTAGAGTGTCCGTGTTGATATATCCCTCATTTACAGATTTCACACTTAATAGCTGTCACCAAACATCTTGTGCTGTTAGATATAGGCACCATATTGAACTCATCATCCCCCTTGAACTTTCAGCAGATGCAACACTCTCTGTTGCCACTGTTTGAGAACCCTGAACGATCACACCCCCTCCCCCCTTAACTCTGGCTGCTACTGAATAATTGTCCTATTTATCACTTCAACCTTCAAGTTTCAGCCTTGGTCCTAGGAGGGACATTTCATGATATGTTTAGGAATCCCCAGGGCCTTTGAACTTATTTACAACAATTAGGCCACTGCTTGTGGTCCTCAGTCTTATTCCACTGCTTTTCCAACTGGTAACCTTTTGCTGTCCACAGAGCTCAGAGACCACTCACCCAGCTTTTATCCTATATTCCTTTCCTAGTTTGTGTTTTCTACCCAGACTTTAGCCTGCCTCAAGCTAGCTTTTTTTCTTAACCCTGACTCTTTGCAGAAATTAACCTGAGATGGTTTCTAAATACATTCTTTCCTACTCAGCCTTTCTCCATTGGCTGTGATGCCAATAACAGATGTTCTGCTGTCCTTCCATTGTCTGTCCTTTTCAATCGTTCCCAGTAGTTCCATTCTGTACTGAAATAATCCTCCAGAATTTGAGAGGAAAAGGAGTACTTCACTTAACGCTGGCTACTACTTATGACAGATTTTTTTCTTTCAGCACTTCTGGGTTTCTAGAAAATGCCCCATTTAGTGAATATTACCAGCCAAATGGGATTTTCATCTGTGTTCTATCTTATTAGGATTAACCTTTAATAATTATGGTAATGCTTAAGATATTCCCAGGAGCAGGGATGAGTCAGATACTGTTATATTTGCTATAAAGTTTTTAAAAGATGTTGTGGAAGAAATGGCTAAATTATTCAGTTTATCAGTAAAGCACCATTAAATATATTCATAATCTGAATAATGAAGGACATGAAGGCATGCAGTTAATCATAGAGTCATAGAATAGTTTGGGTGGGAAGGGACCTTTAAGGGTCATCTAGTCCAACCCCCTGCAGTGAGCAGGGACATCTTCAACTAGACCAGGTTGCTCAGAGTCCTGTCCAACCTGACCTTGGGTGTTGCCAGGGATGGGGCATCTCCCACCATCCCACCCACCAGTGTTTCACCACCCTCATTGGGAAAAATTTCTTCCTTATATCTGGTCTAAATCTGCCCTCTTTTAGTTTAAAACCATTACCTCTTGTTCTGCCGCAGCAGGCCCTGCTAAAAAGTCTGTCCCCGTCTTTCTTACAAGCCCCTTTAAGTACTGGAAGGCTGCAGTAGGGTCTCCCTGGAGCCTTCTCTTCTCCAGGCTGAACAACCCCAACTCTCTCAGCCTGTCCTCACAGGAGAGAGGTTCCATCCCTCTGAGCATTTCTGTGGCCTCCTCTGGACCCACTCCAACAGGTCCATGTCTTTCCTGTGCTGAGGGCTCCAGAGCTGGACACAGTGCATCCTAATAATAGGATGTGTTTGCTTAAGGATTCTTTGGCTTTCCTACCACGCTTAATAATTGCTGAATTTTTCCTTTATGTTGTTCTTTTATTTCATGCTAGCATAACCATGCTGAGTGCTTTGTATTGCACTTCTAAAACAAAATGTTTGACCTTTTGGGCTTGTGCCTAAAGCACCAGAGGAATCCACAAACAGCATAATTGTGTGCAGATCTTTAAAGGAGCAAATTTTCTCCCTCGAGTGTTCCAGAACTTCTTCCATGATAGCTCACAGATATTTTAAGTTTTGGGCCCTGAATCTCTCTCCTGCACTTACATATTTCTTACTGATCTCAGAGCAGGAGATTGGTCTAGGGCTTGAGCTGTGAATACTGAAGTTTTAACCCAGCATCTCCTTACTTGTCCACCATGTGAGCTTGGGGAGTTACTCATCCTCTCCATGGGTAAAAACCAGTTTATAATATCTGTCTTTAAGAGGCACTAGCTCTGCTAGTTCAATATTAACTGATGCAGAAATTAAAAACATAGAACTATTATGTAAAAGCTAAGAATAGTCATTCAGTAAAAACAGCTTTTTTGTAAAAGAACTTTTAGCCACTATATTATGTAGCAAGGAATTTTATGTTTCAAGATGTTGTCTACTTAGCTGGGGCATTTGTGTGGCTCTGTTTACCATAGTGTTAGAATAATCACAGTTTTTAATGAATGTATATTCACATAGACAGTTGTGTGATAAGGAGTTGCTATAATGTGCATTTTACAAATGAGCTGGGAGAAGGGTGGACTTTGAGAACGTCCCACACTTTTAGTGAGCACTCAAAAGCATACCTACCTTCAGTTTGGATGGGAACCAGTGTGTTGGATGCAGACCACAGCAGCCTTCATGAGGTTCTCTTCACCTAGAAGTGATGTCATGTAATGGGTCGAACTGATGTGGCAACCTAAAATGCTTCCTAGAAAGACTTCAGCTCTGCCTACTGCAAAATCCAAACAAGGCAAATATCAGCATGTGGAACTGGATCTTGGGAACCAACCATCTCTTGGCTACTCATGGTTTCAGGCAACTCAGGTACAGAAATGGCAGAGGCTGTTACTCACTCAAGGCTGAGAAGGAACACTGGTAAATCAGCAAGTAGAACCCAGCTTCTGTGTTTGCGTCCTCATCAGTGTAACAACTGCCATTTCTGTTTTTCTAGAACTGTGTTTAAGGTTAGTCTTGAGTTTGATTTTTCATATATAATAAAACAACAGGAAGCTGATACAAAAATCTTAGAATTGTTTTCTGGGAATATTTCAGGAAACTGATAGATACAAGAACTGTCAATACATTCAAGAGAAATGTGTCTTGGTCACAATCCTGCAGCAAGCTCAGTGTCAACACATAAGCTGTGTTCATACATAAGACAGCTCCTCCCCACCACATTATGTACATTTGTGTCTATCGATTTCTACTGTATAGTTTCAAATATTTGCCAAAATATTTCACAAGAGTGTCCAAAACAAATTGTCAGAAACAATTACTTGATGAAGGATGTTGTATAACTAATGCCATTCTATAATTATTAACTGCAATAAACAGAAATCTTTGTAGGCAGATAGTCCTACAAGCAATCAATATCATTAACAAAAAAATGTAAACAGCATGTTTTTCTTTGTCAGAGTATCAAATATTTGAATGTACTTAAAAAAAGGGGGATTCCCTTATTAGCCTATCACAGTGACTATTACACCGTGCTTCTTTACTGTTTGAACTGTTTGTTCTTTGTGTCGTTCCCATTCCTCATCATCTTTGTCCAGATCAAAAGTTTCTGGATAAATGGGCAGCTTGTCTTTTGGGCACTCCTCGTAATAACTTCGAACATATTTTCCAACAGACCATCCTTTGTATTCCTCAGGCATTTTGCATTCTAGGCCATTGTAGTGAACGTTGTAGTGATGCTTCAACCAGTAGAAAAGATAATGAATGTTGTAATCACATCTCCAAGGATTCTCTCTCAGCCACAGTATTTTCAGAAAATAAAGATCTTCCAGTACTCCGTATTCAAAATTCTGCAAGCTGTTGTTTGATAAATCCAACTCCTCTAAGTTATTGAGGCCTGAGAAAGCAGCTGGTCAATAGAAAAATAGTTATTGGTACCTTATAAAGATAAGTTAGAAAAAACCATGCATATCTGCAACAGGAAAAACATTTTGATAATTATTCATTTATAAATCTTTTTTTGCTAAAGGCTACAAAAAAGACTTTTCAAACATTCAACTTTAAAATATGGCTTGTGCTTTGAGAAGTGACATACTGTATAAATGTATTGACATAAGGGGAGTTGTACTGCTGGTAAAGTTATAAAACACTTAATGAGCATGCATGAGTGTAGAACAGGGACAGTGAAGGTGAATGAATACTTGATTTGCTCATAGAAGTCTACTGTTATTGCCGTGATACAGAAGTAGAAATATGGAAACTGATTATCTATAAGTGTGCAGGGATAGTAGTTTTTGTATGTATGTATGTATTTGTGTGTGTATAGAACCTTTCAATTAATATTTTAAGAAATGGAAGATAATAAACATGGGGCTTCATAATAATTCTTCTGAGTCACATTTCAGAGAGCAGTTCATACTTTTTGCAAGTATACTGTATCATTTAGTGGCAGAAGTCTTAATTTAAATAAATTGACTATGTCTAATGCTGAACCTCATAAGTACCATTTTACTGATATTATCACTTTCTACTGCTGTTTAACTTCCAAAATGCTCTCTTTTTGCTTCGTACTTTCTACCTCTCTCTCTCCTGGTGTCTGCTTTAATAATTAAAATCTGAATACACATAGGCTATAAGCAAATTGCCAACAAGGACACTTGAGTTCTAATGATATATAACTTAAGAGCAATTATATGTAGTGATTTTTATCCTAAAAGAGTTTAAATCCTTTTGGTGTGTCTCTTGCTTTATTGTCCAATATAATTTAAAAACAGTGTTGCGGTTTAACCCCAGCGAGCAACTAAGCACCACGCAGCTCTCATCCCCACAGTGGGGGAGAGAGTCAGAGAAGTGAGAAAACTCGTGGGTTGGAATAAAGGGTGTTTAATAGGGAAAGCAAAAGCCGTGCACGCAAGCAGAGCAGAAGGAATCCGTTCACCACTTCCCATGGGCTGGCAGGTGTTCAGCCATCTCTGCATCATGTGTAATGGTTACTTGGGAAGACAGATGCCATCACTCCAAATGTCCCCACACCCCCTCCTTCTTCTTTGCCCCAACTATATATACTGGGCATGATGTCATATGGTAGGGAATATCCCTGTGGCCAGCCTGGGTCAGCTGTCCCGGCTGTGTCCCCTCCCAGATCCCTGTGCACCCCCCGTCTTCTCACTGGCAGCCCAGCACGAGAAGCTGGACAGCCCTTGACTGCTCAGCAACAACTCAAAACATCAGTACATTACAAACATTACTTTCATCCCAAATCCAAAACACAGCCTCACACAGGCTTCTATGAAGAAAATTAACTATCCCAGCTGAAACCAGGACAATCAGCCTTGTTATATTTGGGGGTTGGACTACATGACCTTTAAAGGTCTCTTCCAAGTCAAACTATTCTATGATTCTATAGGGCAAGTTTTCTTAGATTTGGCAAATATATTTAAAAAATGATTCAACTATTTAGTGTCATTTAGTGTTTTGGGAAATGATTAGCCTTCAGTCTGCAGAATTAAATTTTTGCACTTGGTTGGTTTAGTAGTAAGAAAGGGCAGCTGAAATCAGCCTCTTTTCATTGACTTCCATGATGAATACATTTCAGTGCAACCTTTATGAATTGAGTGGTACAAAAGGTAAAACTGGAACCTACTTCTAGATTTTTAAATCCTTTCCCCCACACATTTAGATCTGATAGGACATTATCAAAGTTTATAGTTAATAAAACACAAATCAATTTTTAATGAATAAAATTTCTCTTACCAGGATCAATGTAAGCTATTCCATTACTGTTTAGGTTTAATATCTTCAGTTCACTGACATCTTCAAACTCCTTGGCTCGTAGTTGTCTAATTTTGTTGTTGGACAAATCAAGTTTAACTATATCTGGAGGTATGTTACCTGGAACTTTCTTTAAATCTTAAAAAATGAAAAAGACTTGTGTTAGCTTTAGATTATTCTTGCTGCTTAGGTATCACAGTTGCATACCAAACAGAGTTTTGTCCATCTAGCATTATTTCTTGTTTTCTTTCCCTTTTATCCTTACTACTAGTGTCAACATGTTTTTTCAACTTCTGAATTTCATTCCTTTGTTCACTTGTATTCTTTACATTTCATGTGAAAATAGCTGTCTGCATTAGTGCTCATAGTAAAGCCTCTTTCTATATATTTTTAAAATATTTTCATTTTAATAGAACTGTACTATTCATTTGCATAGGGTTAGGGCAGGTAGTGAAGGTACTATACTAATAAAAACTGTGTGTGAATGGCTTGATCATCTAAAGAAAAGAAAACAGAGTAGCTATATAAAAAAATGTTCATTAGTATGTGAACATTTTCCGTAATCAAATTACAGTGTGCTGTCTTACATCCTTTGTTCTGTGTGGCCAAAGGGTAAAATATTCTAAATTAAAATTGCAAGTTGTTATAGTATTTATAGTAATATATATAGTTATAGTTCTGTAGTTACAATTATGTAGTGTTTTAGTAATGCTAAGACTATATATTTGTTACAATACTTACAGTTATTATATGTCCAGGCAGCATAATGGCATTCTGTCTATCTACTTCTCTATCCTACTAGTATCATTGGCATTACCTAAGTAGCCAAGCATCTCCTGGTCATCTGTGTACGTATCCTTACAATGTTCCTTGCAAAAGAGTTACAGAAAGAATAGCTTCTAGTCCAGTAGTAAGGGCACATTCTTGGGAAGTGCAAACGGTGGTTTGAATCCTCTTGGGATAAAGTTAATAAACCTCATCTCCAGGATTACGTTTCCTCAATGAGTGTTCTAATCCTGGTCTCTTATTACAAGAAAATGAGCGGTATCTCTTGTTTGACCATCTGGTGTTGTTTGACCATTTAGTGTTGGCCTCTTCTCCCAAGTAACTAGTGATAGAACAAGAGGAAATGGCTTCAAGTTGCGCCAGGGGAGGTTTAGATTGGATATTAGGAAAAATTTCTTCACTGAGAGGGTGGTCAGGTATTGGAACAGGCTGCCCAGGGAGGTGGTGGAGTCGCCATCTCTGGAAGTGTTCAAGAAATGTGTGGATGTGGCGCTTTAGGACATGGTCTAGGGGACATGGTGGCGCTGGATTAATGGTTGGACTTGATGATCTTGAAGGTCCTTTCCAACCTAGTGTTTCTGTGATTCTGTGATTCTGTGATCTTTGAATGAAAGCAAGTGGTTTCTGGTTCTGTGCTGAAATCTGTGTTGTCTGTACTTCTGGAGTTCTGAGGATGTCTAATACATCAGGTATTCTCGAGACTAAAGCAACAGATCAGAGTCTTCCTGCCTTGTATCTGATTTTGAGCAGGACTTTGGTATTATAAATACATAAATATTATAACTATTCCAGCCTGCTCTGGTTGGAGTGCTTCCTGCTTGTGCAGATGTCAAAGTTTCAGAGCCTGTTTATCACCAAATGAATGCAAATAATGCTTGAATTTAGAGTCTTGGAGAGTTTGGCTAGTACTAGAAAGATTTTTTCAACTGCTTTTGCAAATACAGGGTTTTTTGTGGAAAAGCAAACAGAAGTTACTTTTGGTAAAACAGAATCAAGGACATAGGACACTTTCATTCTGAAGTACTGGAAGATCTGGCGTATCACTGGTCTGATGAGATATAAATAAGTTCTTCAAAAAGGAGAACATACACATGGTTATATGTATTTTTAAGATGTTTCTTTTGTGAGCTTTCTGACATCAACTGAAAGCTGCTGACCTGTTGTCATATCTCCTTAGAGATACATTGTACTGGTATACTGCTTGTCACTCAGTCCTCTCCATTGTAAAGGAATAATGGATTGCAGCTTTTCATGTCATCTTACTGCGTTGGCAAATGATGCACCTTTTTTCCTACTCTGAAATCTTGTCCATGTGGATTTGGAGAAATTTTTGTGTTTTCCCAGGATTTTGGGTGCATTATGCTCCTATTTCTGATGAAAATTCCAATCAAATTGTGCATCTGCTGCACAGTAATCGTATGCAAAGACAGTAAGTACAATGCTTTCATCAAAGATTACCATATGTTCAGAAATCCCAAATGTCCATGGGATATCTGCATCCAGCTGTCGAGCATATGCACAGTAGATCTGATACTTGCTAAAAAATATTGAACATACTCAATGTGTCCATGCTAGACATTCAGGAAGTCCTGGACTGATATACTTAGTTCTTGACCTGAAGGAAGGAGTCCCTGTACATGCTAGTACACTCATGCGGAGCTTGAAGTAACTTTATTCCTTCATTATAAGTACTAAAAACAGTAAACCATTTTTTAAAAATGCCATAAAAGCCTGTGAAACTCCCATGAAGTGCAGACCACATTTAATGTTTCTATGAACTTAGAGGAAAAAGTAACATTTTTCTTACCAAAAGTTTTTGAATATATTCATATCAACTCATCTCTTTGATACCACTAAATGAGGAGAGCTGGAAAGTCAGTCTTTTCTTATATTAGGATTATAATATATGCCTGTTTTTTGTTCAGTAGCACAGTTTACTGGAAACATAAGGTAATAATGATATAATTAAGATACTATGAAGGATAGTTAAGATCCTATCTAGAGGGAATGGTAAGGTAGGTGAATATTAAGAAATTAATATATGTTAGCCAGGAAGAAGGAAGGAATTTAACAGGGTGGAAAAAAAGTAAAAACGTGGACCATTTTTTATGACATACACAATAGATAAACCATGTAATCAAATACTGAAATTGTTAATTCATTATATTTAGGTATTGTCTCCTTATACTGACTTCTGAGCTTGTTTCTGGCATTAAGGTCCAAGAATAAGGGCATACAGAGTTGTTACAGAAATTTAAGTCACTGTTAAAGCAAATAGAACTTTAGCAAACACATTGCAAGATACAAGTGGGCAAAATATACTGCAGTGATCTGGTATTGGAGGCTATGCTTCAAAAAAGTTGGGAAAAATTCATCCCAATCTTGGCTACTCCTAGTAATGCTTTTTATTTCAGATTTGTAATGATAAAGAATGACTCTATTCTGAATTGTTTTGTTGTTTCTTTGTTTCATCATGGGATAAAATATGGGAAATAAAGAGCACGAATAAATGTGCACGTTTGTGTTGATATATGACCCAGCTGGTTTACCCTTAAGGCTTAACTGTGGCTTTTAGGAGCCTGAGAAGGATTTAAGAATGGAATAGATCCAAGTGTCTGAAAAACATTTCTTGAAGGCCCTTCAACTTTGAAATGTGTGCTGGGTGCTGGGAGGAAGAACAAGAGAGGAGGTATTTCTTTATGAACAAACCCATACAATTTCTTCCCTTAGTAGAAGAAATCTTGCACAGACAGTGTGAGGATGCAAGGGCTCTCCTTTGCAAGCAGGATCCTTTGGGCATTGTGAGCACAGCTGGCTGCTCCAGTCCTGCTTCACAGCTTGCTTCTGTCCAAAGTTGTTGCTATCTTTGTGCTTGTACACCGGAAAGAAGAAAAGACACTCTGTGCTTTTCTCTATCAGTACAACAATTTCAGCACAGCTGTAATTTGACTCATTAGTATGTTTATAGTTGTGAAATCGGAGCAGTGAGGTGCTCATCCTTCAGTAACTTAAGTATATGCTTCATTTTATTCCTGTTGATTTTTCTTGGGTATCTTATACTAGACCACTAAAGAATATCTGTGGAATTGGGGCTGCAGAGTAGGGGTAAAATGAAGAAAGAATTCCTCCTTGTTCCTTGTAGTTACGAGGGAAAGACAATTAACAGTATTAGTTAAATCAAGTAAGGCGAGTACTAGTACTATATTTATTTGATGTGAATAAATGTAGTAAGGGAGCAAAAATATTAAAATCATTAATTCAGTTCTAAGAACAGATACAAACCTTTTCTTTTGCAATTCAGCGTTGGTACAGGAAACACATACATGTGGCACAAAGAGGAATCAAGTTCTGGTTTGACAGCTTCAGGCTTCTCCCGTTTTATGTTTTGGGGGTCCTGCCTGTCCTCTTCACTACATAGCTGTTCAGCTTTTATTTGCTTTAGCTTTTGATTTTTCAGTTCTATTGGGTGCACACACTTGGCATAATTTCCCAAATTCCTGTTTGTTGGAACCTGTAGCATTGTAACAAGAGTTTCTAGTTCACAGTTGCAATGCCAGGGATTATCATAAAGACGTAGGTAGTTTAGACTGGGTGTATAAATAAAAATCTCCTCGGATAAACTCTTAATTTGGTTATGCTGAAGTAAGAGTGTGGTAAGTTTATTCAAACCATAAAAAGCCTCGCTCTCAATTTTTGTTATATCATTCTGTTGTAAATCCAGACTTTTCAGTACTTTATACTTGGAAAACATGTTATTCTTCAATTTACGAATCCTGTTTCTTGCAAGTAGCATGTGTTTTAAATCCTCTGGCCAGTCAGGTGCCACAAAAATTAATTTTCTTTCCTGACAATCTAGATATTTCTCATGAAGGTAAGTATATATATCACATGGTAGGCCTTGGACATTGCGCTTAACAGTGCTAGATGCTTTCCTTAAGATGTTTTCCCTTTCATTGTTTCTCAAACTCCTATTCCTTGTCTTCCTACAGTCAGATGCTTTACAAAGAAGAAGTAGTAGTATAATAGTAACTACTTGCATCCTGACATTCAGCTGGCCCATTTATTTCCCGTGACAAGAGGAACAAGTTGAAATTTTTGGATAGTCTTAATCAGTGTTGTACAGATCTGGGGAGTCACAGCTGGGGTATGTGGGATCCCTGTGTTGGAAGAAAAGTGAAACATTAGAACAAATGAAACAGGCGTTTTCATGGAGGCTTTTACATAATATGCAGCATTCAGTCAAGTACTCAATCATCACACTGCCTGGAGCTTCACAAATACTTAGAAGATTTAATGTCCTATCTCTTTTTTTCTTGGTTTTACTGTCTCTGCTCTACTGTCATTCATTTTGATTAAATGTGGGAAACTACATGGACCAATTTCTAAATGATCTTTGTTAGAAGATTCTCACGTATTCAGGAAAATGGCATCAGGCTGAAGCTTCTTCCTATTTAAGTTCATCTTGGAAGATGTGCTTGAAAGAGGAGCTTGAAGCCGATACTTTCCAGCTTTCTGCGTGTTGATCCACTGGAACACACACGGAGCCAGACCCGGGAAAGCCATCCAGTGCCTATCAACCCCCCAGTTTTAGACTGTGCTCAAGTGTGGGCTTGTTACCAGGTTGAGCCCAAATTTGTCATAACTAGCTCTGCTACTACCAAGTGTCTCTCGTGCCCCACGTCAGGTAGACAAAGTTGGCTGGACTGCACTGAGAAGGACCCCAAAATAATCTTTTGCGAGAGCCTATGAGCCTATGTGTCATCTGAGCGTAGGCAGAATGCAAAGGGAACTGGCAGGTCCTGCCTGCGGCCTGCTGCAAACCCCCGAAGGCAGAGTGCAGGGGGGTAAGCCAGGAGCTTTGGCCTTTCCAAGAAAGCCAGACACAATCATTAGGAATTATTATTATGGGAAGACAAGGACTGCTCCCTGCAACCATGTCCAAAATTGCCTCAGTATTTTAAGTAATTTTTTGGTGTTATGTTCCTTCCTGAATTTCCTGTAGTACTCCTGTGCACTGCCCTTCTCCTTCATTTCCAGTGAAGTCTGGTCAGAAGGTTTTGTTTCCTTAGACACATTTTAACCCCTCAGGTTTTTGTATTTTCTAACTTCTTTCCATCTTACAAATTTCCTACTTTTGCTAGTCAGCACCATTCCCTCTGAAACCTTTTTTTTTTAATTCTTCACTGGCTTAACTACTTAGTTTTTCTCTGTGACTGTGCATCTTTGTGTTATGCACAGATATATCATATATCATCTATCATCTATCATCTATCATATATCTTCTTGACTTTAGCACCTGGGAAGGTATTGAATCCCAATCTTGCAAGCAGATCATTGCACCAGTCTTCTGTTCTAAAACACCATGGTTTTGGGCTCAAAAATCTTGTTTTTATCTGTAGGAAAGGTGATGCAATAAATCAACTAATATCAGGTAAAATTCTTTGGAAACAAAGAAATTTCTCATTTTTAAACACATTGGTAGATCAGTTTAAACCACATCTCAGCTGTAGGGTGTTCTCAGTATTTGTGCAGTTCTTACTCATTAGACAGATGGGGCGGTCCTGTCTACACATGCTACTGCATCCCTCTAATCCATGTGGCCACTTCTTAATATTACCTTTAAAAGCCCATTAATTGGTTTCTCCGTTCCTGTAGTTGCCAGTTGTCTACCTGCATTCAGATTCTGTTAGTTCACAGTGTGAAGGAGTGTTTGCACTGATGACTTTATCCCTTACATGAAAAATGAAATTTCGTTTGTTACTTTTTGGCAGCTATGTGCTAGTCAGTGTAAATTGATTATGTGTTTTAATAACTTGCATCATAACTGGGATCTTCTGTGTTGTTTTGAACTGTTCACCATTCTGGTAATGTGCTAGCTCATTCTATCCAGGAGAGCTCAGAAATACAAAAAGAACTTGGGGGAGGAAATGTAATAAATAATTATGGAAATATCCTTTCCTCTTCCTTTCCATCTCCTGGGTCTGAGCTGGAATTTTTTACTAGTATTACATTCTGCCTGCTAACTACATTATACTCAGCTATAACACCAAAATGAGCAGCTGCTTTCAGTAGCGTGTACAGGTTCACATGTAAAATTATAACTGTGTCTCATTTTAGTGCTAGGACAAAAACGTGTAAGAGGTATGTCCTTTCTGTGGCTTAGAAGCCTTAAGGATGATTTTCAATGTGTAGGTTCTTTTGAGTTGTGCAATCCCTCTCAGTATTGTCCTACTCTTCAAAAAGGCACTGTTAGACTTTATTACAGGATATCAGTGAAGGCACAGTCCCCGCAGAAAAGAATATACAGATCTGTTGTACTAACGCTTGATTGCAACTGAAAACATGTATTTGGCTTACCGTGTGAAAATGTGTTCTTAAAGATCTAAACCATATTTTTCTTTTTATAAACCCTTCATACTGCGTTTTCCATATTAGGTATCTGTATCAGGCTTTTTTTTTTTTTTAATTTCAGTTTAGACAGATCAGTTATTTTTGAAGATTAGATTAAGGCAAAAAGTATTACTATGTTTAACAGGAGTTTTTGCATCTTTACTTTGGAGGATAGACTCAAAATTTGGCAGAAGAGTGGCTGAAGGGATGTGTAAGTGTTGTTTCTAGTGTCAGACATCTCTCATTATTTTGTTAGAATTGCAACAATCTCTGCAAATAGGAGTTTCTAAAAATAATAGATTATACACACACAGAAGAGACTGTCTCAGGCAGCTAAATCCTCTGAAATACCTGCAGAAGATAAGCAAGACTTTTCCTACAATTGGTCTGATTGCTGCACCTCTGTCTTCAGAGGGAAAAAATATTCATGTATATAATTAAGATACTGGTGTCATAATATATGGGTGGGAGGGGCAGATAAATGTGTGGAAAACTTAATTCTGGCACTTCCTAGCACCAAATTGCTTAATTAGGTAGCTTGCTAGTCCTTTGGTAACGTAAGACTGAAGCCAGCCATTAGTTGATGGAGCCTAAGAAGAGACATTTCTTCAGGACAGCTTACTCCGGCTTTGTATCCTACTTTTGGTTTTTTGTGCTTTCTTCTCAGTAATCTGCTGTGCCCACGGTTTCAGGGAGGATAGTGGCCTAGATGGACTGAATCTGTAATAGGAATTCTGACAGTTGTGTCGTACACTGAGAATTTGAACTGTTCACCTTTAATATGACATTTTTTATTTTTATTTTTAGGTGAATGTCATAATTTGCAAGACTTAAATCTCTCTGAATGCCAGGGATTAAATGTAAGTATTACAAATCTTTTCTGCAAACTTTAATTTATACCAAGGGAGATTTTGTAAAGTACTGTGGTTATTTGGGTACACAACTCTTCCCCATAAAAAGTAGAGACTTGTGTTCTTAAGTACTTTGAAAATGGAATTTAGGAGATGCAGAGATACTTAGTCTCAATTAATCTTAATAAACAGGCTTCAAAACTTTACCAGTCTGGGGGAGGGGTTTTTTGTTATTTTAAGTTTGGAGTTGACAACAACAATACATTTTAATTCTGTATTGTTTCCAAGTTCCTTTATTCCTTCATTCAGCAGCATACTTGGGCTCTAAAAAGGTCTCACTAAATTTCTTGGTATTTGTGAAAGCCTTCATTTGAAAGGTGTCTAAGTATGCAATCACTGTTACATATTTGGCCATTCTTTTTCCTTTAACATTTTCAGTTTTGTCTTGTGACCATTAGTTCTCTGTAATGTTTTTTTATTGATCTTCTCTGATGGAAAAACAATGTTTGACTCTGCTTTAATTAATAATTTCTTAGAAATGACACTGATATGTGCAAATTTTTCTAATAATAAAATCAATCAAAAAATAAAATAAATATTTTTTTAGAAATTATGGTTCATAATAGATTCATATAATGTATGCACCCATTTATATGCTATTTATAGTGTTAAGTATATAAACAGATAATTTAGTATAGTTTAGTTGTCTTTGGAGTGAAGCGTATGTCCAAGGGTTTAGCCCAAAAACATGCCGATATATACACACAGGTTTTAAAAATTACCATGGATAAACTATAGCTCATGAGCTTCATACAAAAATGGCATATGATGGTTGAGTTAGAGAGGCAAGAGCTGCAGAAGAATTATGAGGTTCTAATTTATAATACTCTGGTTTGGTTCTGCTTTACATATATCTTCATGTCTGTCCTATGTTGATGTTAGCTTTATTGCTAAATATCTTGTTCTCACCATTTTCACAGATTATAACATTTCCTTTAGTACACCAGGTACAAGGAAGGGGTAAAGATATAGTATATTAGGAAGCTCTTTGCGTAACACTGTAGAATCGTCTTGTTATATAATTACAGTATAATGTGTAGAGGTTGTCTGCTTCTCAAGGATCATGTTGGTTGTAGGTTCCTGCATGAAGGCAGTAAGTCAAAGAGGGCCAGGGCTTGCCAAACTGTAAAGACTCAAACACTGTTTCATAACCGTCTGTTCTGTCTGGTTGTCAGCATGCTTGCTAATACACATTTGGTACGTACCAGCAAGAACATTCCTAGGTGATGGCAGGGCCTGGTTCATGGGATAGTAGGGACTTGCTGATTACACTCTTGCCAATGCAGCCTAGTATGCAGTTGGCCACCTTTTTCAGAAGGACACGCTGTTGACATACTTTGAAGTTATTATTGACCGGGACTCTCAGGTCAGTGTGTTTGATAGATGCTTTCTGTCCAGTGTCTAGACTGTACTGATGCGTGGAGTTATTCATTCCCAGATGCAGGACTTTGCATTTGCCTTTGTTGAACTTCATGAGGTGTCTGTCAGCCCATTTTTTCCAGACTAAATCTCTGTGAAGAGCAGTTCTAGTCTCGTCTATTGACTCTCCCCCCAGTTTGGATGAATTTGTGAATTGGCTAAGAATGTACTCTGTTCCTGTCATCCAAACCATTTATAAAGACACTTAACAGTACTGGCCTGCATATTGAACTTTGCGGGTTACCAGTTTCCATAAGGTGCCAATGTGACTTAGCATCATTGGTGACAACCCTCTGGTCTGGCAGTCTGGACAAATTTTCACTCACCTTGAAGTCCACTTATCCAGCCTTTATGTTACCAATTTGGCTATAAAGGATACTGTGGCCTGTGTTGAAGACCTTGCTGAAGTCAAAACACACAACAGCTGCTTGTCTCCCCTTATTCATAGATCTAGTAATTTCATCATAGAAAGCGATCGCCTTAGTGAGGAGTGCTTTGCCCTTGGTAAATCATGCTGGCTTTTGGCTATCATTTTTTTAATCCTTCATGTGCTTGGACAGGACTTCAAGGAGGATTTGCTACATAGCCTTCCTAAGGTGGGGCTGACTGGCCTGTAGTTTCCTGGATTCTCATTCTTCCATTTCCTGAAAATAGATGTGACATTTCCTATCTTCCAGTCATCAGGAATCTCCTCTGATTGCCATGACCTTTCAAAAATGAGTGAGGTCTCCCAGTGACAGGAGCCAGCTTTCTTAGTATTCTTGGATGCATCCTGTCTCGTCCCATTTCCTCAGGTGCTCCCTGACATGGTCTTTTTCTACCATGGGTATTGCTTCACTCCCACAGACTCTGCTAGTAGGCTCCTGGGAGGCACCAGGGAAGCCTTAAGACAAGCCTTAGCAGGAAAAGCTGAGGCAAAAAAGTCATTGAGTACCTTGGCCTTGAAGATCAACCAGCTCACCTAGGCCCCTTTGCCCTCCAGGGCTGTCACCATGAGATCCTTGTTAAGCAGATCCCTAAACAAGCCAAAATCTGCTCTCAAGTTCAGGTTTTTTCTTCTAAAATTTGTCCAATTTTCTTCTCTCGGGATTTTAAACTCCTCATTTTCATGGTTGCAGTAACCAAAGGCACTCTAGTTTTTCACATCTTTGACCAGTTTTTCCTTGTTTGTGAAACAAGTCCAGAAGAACATGTTCCCTAGACCACTCATCAGTCACCTGGATCAAGAAATTGTCTTCAACACAATCTAGAAGTCTCCTGTTTTGTGCCCAACCATATTGTTCTTCCAGCAGATATCAGAGTGCTTAAAGTCTCTCATGAGTAATTGTAAGGCTTCCTTCAGCTGCCCAAAGAAGGTTTCATCTATCTTCTTTTCTTGATCAAGCAGTCTGTAGCAGATAACTACCACGATGTAATCATCATAGGTCTACCCTCTAATCCTTACAAATAAGCTCTTGACTGACTTGTCACCCATTCCAATGCAAAGCTCCATGCACTTAGGCATAACTTTGCGTAGAGTGCAACCTGTCCTCACCTTCCTGGGCTGTCATTCCTAAATATTTTGTAACCATTCATTGCAGCCCTCCAGTTCTGTGTGCTGCCCCTTTGCATCTGTGAAATCCCAATGAAATCATAGCTCTGCACTTGTGCGTGGACTTTGATCCGTACTGATTGATTCCCACACTACAAGTGTTTGCGTTCAGACACTTGAGATGGACCCCTGGTTGTGCTGCTTTCACATGGAAGGTTTCAGAGTTTTCCCCATCATGCTATCCCTCTAGTGCTTCCTCACCACTCCCTATGCCTTCAGCTCTCTTCAGGTTATGGTTATCTTCTATCAGCATACCTATTTTTACTGATATCACCTCTCTCAAATCCTTTGTTGCATGAATGTATTTCAAAGGCACAAACCATCCTCTTTAAAGTTGATTGGTATTGAATTTCCAGCTATCTTGATGGACCTTTTGCCTGATAACTGAAATAGTAGAAAGGTGACCACAACAGGGCAAAAGATACGCACTCAACTATTACATTTCCATGTATAAGTGCCAATTTTTTTACTTTCTATTATATTGACATTTATTGTGAAACATTCTTCATACTAGATAATTTGTTCCCATTATATTCTAATGGAATGATATGTAGAACAATACAGGTAGTACCACTTTTGCAGGTCAATAAAACATGGAAACCTTGTAATTACTCAAATCTAATGTTCCACCTAGAGGACAGAACTAAACAGGAAGCATTTTGTAAATGATATTACTGGTTAGAGAAGTGTAACAGAGTTTATGGATAAAATTCACCAGTGGTTTTAGATACTGGGGTTGGCTAACAAGAATGTTGGTTTAGCGAAATATGTAAACATGTGCTAACCTTCGATCATGTGAAAAGTCCCCTGTGCTCTGTTAGGACTGTGTAGTGTATTGTTTCCTTGAATTGGAATGTTAAAATTACCATACTTCAAGTGAGTATCAGTAGCGTCATGTGTCTCTCAGTATTCTACTTTGAGGCTTCCAAAGAAAATAGCTGTGATGTATAAAAAATACTATTATGATTTAAAGATACTCATTAATGTTTTCCCTTGTTACTCTGCATGAAAATGTAAGATAAATTAATACAAATGTAATTTTAATATACTTCTAGGTATATAGTAATATAATAATAATAAAATAATATTTTGTTATTCAGGATGAATCGATGAGACTCATATCAGAAGGTTGCAGAGCTCTTCTCTATTTAAATCTGTCATATACAGATATTACTAATGGAACACTACGGCTATTGTCAAGGTAAAATTAAACAGAAATACAAAAGTGTGCTTGTTTTAATCTTGCAGGAAACTTAGAGGCATATGTAGTAGAAATACTCTTTTTGAGTGATTTACAAGATTCTGTCTGCTATACAAAATGAAAAACTTGCCCCATACATTTGATTTAGGTAGCAGTTCTTTTCTCTTTTTAGTGTAATTAAAATCATATGCTAAATTACTCTATGTATTTCACAGAGTTTTACAGAAACTTTCAAAAGAACATGCCAGCCAAATATTTCTTGGGCATGTTCAGTTACTCATGATGACGCAAGAAGTTTGCCAGATAGAAATGTTCTTAAAAATTTATTTTTGCAAGAGAGGATTGTGGATAGGTGTGTTGTGTGAGCCAAGGCCTTGCGTGACAACTGCAAAAGAAAGAGTTATTAGTATTTAGTCTTACCAACTCTTATTTGTAAGATCAGTGAGCTGAAGGCAGAGAATTTACATTCTTACGGAGGTCTGTTTTAGATGTATCCCTACATGAGACCTGAAGTCTGCCTGGTAGGTAGAATCACCGCATTAAAACTGCCATGAAGGAAAAGAGGTATGCTGGTCCATGATAGCAGCCATCACAAAGACATATATGGATTTGAAGATAGCTGTACATTGTTTCTCTTTCCTATGAGGAAAACTAATGTCTTCCTTTTAACAGCAGCCCTACAAAGTCCAGAAACATGTTTTTCTTTGGCATTTGCATAATACATTTTGACTTTTGTTTTTCTTAGTCTATAATGGCATATCCTCATATAACTAACATTTGTTTTGGCAAAGTTTTCCATGTAGTGCCTCCAATCTTACCACTCATCTCCTCATCAGTATTATTCTGATCATAATCTGTGTTTTCTCCATGTTGGCTGATATTCTGTCTTTTTAAAATTCCATATATTTATGTTGAAGTTTGGAACAGCTGTTCTATAGGTAATCTCAGCATATGTTATTCTGGCTACCTGAGCATGCTGTTGCCACTAAAAGTCAGAACCGTTCACTTCTTTTGATGTGTAAATAGCGCTTACCCAAGAAAAATTCTCCAGAGTAGGTGAAGCTTTCAATGCAATAAAATGTTTAAAACAAAAATTCTCCACTGACAAAATATATTTTGTGGTTAACTTGCACCTCATTAATAATTAATTTTCCCAGTCACACATGATGCTTCTGATTTAAAACCATAAGATACCACTGTTTTATTGACAATTTTTGGACAAAAAGTAAAACTCATTGTTTCTGAGATTATGGGTATGTACAAAATGTTGCTGTCCTGTGAAGATTTTGATAGCAGACAAATTTCATAAATATTTCACATGCCATCTCAGAAGCATTAGCTCACCACAGGTCCTGTGTAATAAAATAACTAATACAAAGTTCTTAGAGGTGGCAGTGTTGCATTTCATATACTGCATGTGAAGTTTGCTGTTGTGTATCAGATGCCTGTTATTGGAATGAGGAACAAGTGAAGTGTAGTCTGAGTGTGCTCTGAACTATTTGCTCTTTTTTGATTCTCTCTTACTGTTCCATACAAGCATTTTAACCTTCGTTTTACACAACGTGAATCATCAGCCACAATTTCCCTCTGAAAAGTTCCGTTGCATGTGGTAGACATGAATATCGTCTATCAGGAGTAAGTGTCAGAAGGTGATTTTCTCAGATTGCTTTAAAGCAATGATCCTGAGATTGCTAATGCCAAAATTAATTGAAAAAACAGTCTGACAGGATCCCTGCAGAATTTAGCTGTAACACAAAACAAAGATTTTTAGTAGTCTGTGTGCTCAAGCTTAAGTTTTAAGAAAGCTGTCACTTTAAAAATGGCAGAAGGTGCCATGTGTTAAAATTCCCAGATCATAAAAATGGGTCATATGACCTGTACAGAAAATCAGTGTCTCTTCAAGAGTATTGGAAGGTTTTGTTCAGTCTTCAAAATACACTAACAAAGGCTTCCCTGTGTTTTAAATTGTGCAACCTTATAGCAACATACACTTTGAAGAGACTCAGAACTGCCGGAGTATAAAAGCCAGTCTCAATACATTATCTGTTTTGTCAGATAAGTTTGGAAGTGCACTCTCGCTGAGTTTGATTTTCCCCACTCGTTTCTGTGGAGTATGTCACTAAAATAAAAAAAGTGCTTATGCTTCTACAAAGAAAGTTACTTATATTTCTGTATTTAATATGAATTAAATGTTTCCATTTAAAAAAAATGCACCACAAACACATGCCCTTATATACTAATATCTGGTTCTGATGCACGTTGTCTGTCTTTTTGTTTGTTTTTTTCATGAAATGCAATCTTCTATTTAATTTCTTAATATTTTTGTATTATCCTTTTTTTATGATAACTTTCCTTTCCAGCTTCCTGTCTTTTTTTTCTATTCAGTTTAAGTTAGCGTGTTTCCCCACTCTATATCGAAAGTATAAAGTCTGTTCCAAAAATGTATGCCACTCCTTAAGCACTCAGCTCCTCAGTGGGTGTTCCCATCTTTCTTCAAAATGCCTACTTTTGCTGACTTGCAGAACTGCCTGACTATATCCCTACAACTAAATGTCTACCAGAGCAGTGGGTCCTAATTCTAGGTTTTGATTTTCTCTATGCTTTCATTTGTGGTGCTTGTGGCAATTGTTATTTATTCCAGTTAGAAATGTAGTTCAGTAAAATGAATAGTTTTTAGTATGTTATAAACCAAAGCTGCAGATGGAAACTTAAATATATTCAGAGATAGATTCTTCCTTTTACAGAGTGCTGTTGATTAACATTTTCCACTTATACAGTTTGCTTGCTTTTGACTAATGTTTAGCATAAAGAAATGTTTTCCAAAAGAACGGATCAAAACCTAACATTGGGCAATTCCCTTTTGGATAATTCTCTTTTGTATCTCTTTCAATTTTTCAGAATCTTTTAATAGTACTCTTCTAAATAATTACATGACTTGAAAAGCTCTAACTGTACATTCATGCTTTTAACGTCCTTTGGTAGACTTCTGGTTTTCATTTCCAGCAGGCACTGCTTGTAAAATCAATGGCAAAGAGTGTCCAGAAAACTTATACTGAGAAGTCTATTAGCTTTCACAGTATGCACACAAAAATCCCAGCTAATTAAAAAAGTATGCTTTTGCAGTTATTTGAGATAAGTTTAAAATTATACTGTTTTCATATGGTGAGATATGTTGTATGATAGTGTTATTCCCCAGTAATTTGCAATACAAGCAGCAGAGGAGAAAGTGCAGCAGAAAAAGGAGACTTTGAAACTTCAGCAAGGAGATAATTCTATTTCATATAAAACATCTTTTCTTTACAGTAATTTTCAGAGCACTTACTTAAACTATCTTTTGATTCTGCAACACACCCTTGTAATAATTTGCTCTCTGTTTTGTTTTTTTTTTTTTTTGCAAAGCAGCTTCCCCAATTTACAGTATCTGAGTTTAGCTCACTGCAGAAAATTCACAGACAAAGGTTTACTGTACCTGGGCTCTGGAAAAGGCTGTCACAAGCTCATCTGTTTGGACCTTTCAGGTTGCATTCAGGTTTGTAGTTCACGTCTTTCTTTCATTCTGTGAAGAAGAGGATCCTTTGTATGACTGGCTGCATCCTGCATTCATGGTATACTGAAGTAGAACAAGCACTGCAGCAGACTTCCAGGGTTTTGAATTACATGACTACAGCTGTTTAAATTTTACTAAGGAATAATAGCACTATAGGTTTGGATCACTTCCAACAAACTGTCAGATACATAAACAGCTAGTACTTACTGCATAATGAGAACAAGGCTTGCTTTCTGTAGCCATAAATAGACTAATTTTATGTCACGATTTGTTAGGATTTTAAACCAGGAGCTTTGAAAATGCAGTTTTTACTAAGATATCAAAAAATTAAAAGCCACTCTGCACTCAAAAAAATGAATTTACATTTGATTTCCTGAGAAGGAAATTAATTAAAGAGTGAACTTTTGTTACTATTTTATAACGGTTTATTATATATAGATTGAAGTAGTATTTACAACTGCAATCTAAAAATAGTTAATGTTTTGGATTATTTTAGTCTCCTACTAAACTTCTAAAGAAAACCAAGGTTTTAGAATCTGGTACTATTTTAGAAAGTTTCAAATATATACTGTATCTTGAAACATACTTCAAAAGCAATATGAAATGCCAGACAGTAAGGCAATAAAAGTCTGCCAATGTTTTAGTAAAGACTCCCACATACATTTCTTTATACACTGAGAAGATTCTCCAAATTACAAAATACATGTAAAATGAGAACGAGATGGAGTCTGAGACGTACAACAGTTTAAATTTCCATCTAACAAAACCTTTTCAGAACCAAGGATGAAGGCAGATAGGGCAACAGTCTTGTTCTGACTGCTCTTTGCTGTGAGTGTTTCTTGTTCCTCAGAATCATGCTGAGACTATTGTGCGGTGACAGTGTGAAATTTGAAATGAGGGCTGAGGTTAGAGGAAAGTTAAGAACTACCTACCTCTGAGTTACTTTTTCAAAATGTCAGTAATTGGTTATTTTTTCCAAAAGCAACTTTCCTGCTTGTTCAGAAGAACAATCATGAGCTGTAAGGATCTGCCTCCAGAAAGCATGATCTAATAATAGTCAGAGAAAAGTGATCATCATTGAACTGGGAAAACCACAATCCTCCCCTTTCCAGAGGAAAGTGGGTTTGCTCACCAGTGTATTCGAGAGCTCTGAAAGGGATTCCACAGCTTCCTCCATTTTGGCTTTCCGCACAGTTCTGGAACAGCGCTTAATGATTATGACTGAGTACATAAGTAAACAGTTAAAACCAAAAAGAGCATCAAATTGCATCACTGTTGCAGAAAGCATTTTAATAAGAAAGAATTCTTTCGCTCCCCCTCCCATTGGATGAACTAAACCAAAGGGAACTTCTGTAAGGCTAAATGTTTCAGAATTAGTTAGAAAAATGTAGTGAAGCTATAGTATAAACAGTTAAATTATGCTAACAAGTGTTCTATAGAACAGAATATATATTCCATAGAATATCTATTTTTTCTGATTTTTCATGTTTACTGTTTTTTCTTTCATTTTAGCATTACAGTTCTTTTTATATGAGTTCTTATATTACCATTACTACTGTAGGATTTGAACGTCTACTTAGAAAGCTCATCTCTAAAATGGGTGATTATGCTACTGATTTTGCAAGTGGCAACTTGAAGACCAGGGCATTTAAATAGCTTATTAAAAGCTAGTTGGGCAGAAAACTGGGAATTAAGCATACATTTTCTAGTCCATTGTCATAAAACAAGGCAATCTTTCCTTTGACTATTATATTAATACATGGAAATAATACCGGATGAATTGTAGGTATGGGATTTTTGCATAAAATATCAGTAATTAAGTTAGTGTCTTTATGACACAGGTGGTAAATATTTTCATTAATGAATTTCAAGATATTTTCCTAAAAATATAGAGATTCTCTTGTGTCCTGCTCAAAAGGTGTCCTATTACACTACTGGTATTCTTAGAGAATTACCTAGAAAGCATAAGATTTCTTGGTCCTGCTTCTGAAGCTGAACAGTATAGCTGGAAAATATTCTGCTATTAGATACAAAACTGAAAAGACAGAAGGGCATAAAGCAATTGCATGTCATTTACTGACATATTAGATTGACATTATACAACTAGAACAGGTTGGGTGAGAGATATTTGCAGTTAAATGAGAAACATGGAGATTTACAAAGAAATTTACTTTATTTTTGGTGCCAACATCTATGTCTGATTTTCAGACTGGAACTATTCTGGCCCGAAATGTGTTAGACCAGTCTATCAATTGCTGTAGTTTACAACAGCTGGATAAGAGATCCCAAGCCACTGGGAAAAATAAATTTGACCCTTTCATTTCTTGACATCCTGCGGTGTTTGTGGGGATGTCAGAGACGCTATTGGCAAATGTATAGGCTTCACCAGTTTTCACCATCTGAGTTCCTCCTGCTCTGGCATCACTCTGAGAATTCTCATTTTGGCAGCTACTGTCAAATTCTGACTTCTTCAGATGTATCAAGCAGCAAAAAATGGGCCATCACTTGGGGAGAAAAAGCTGAGCCACATTCTTTATTTATTGAAGAAGAGGACTCATTGTTTACATTTCCTGAGTACAAACTCATGTAACGGAAGAATACTTTATTATAAGTTACACATGCACTATTCTATGTTTTTAGAAATATGCTAATTCAGGAGTATGTTACTAGAACCTTTTTTTGGACAGTGGAAAATTAAAAGAAAAATAACATGTGGAGGCAAGCCATCAATGTAATGTGCCAAACATCTGAAAGGATGTCACAATTCATTTTATCATTCTCGACAAACACAGAATAAATAAAAAAAGATATCCCCTTGTGCACCACAAGAGTGCTTCCTCAATCCCAAACGCTGATTTTCAAGTTTCTGCACTCACAGTCCATTGACAATACTAGACTTACAGTGTTTCTTCAAAATCCCTTCTGTGCTGCAGACAGCGTTCTGCCTTGCAGGGTGGATTCCACAAGCGCAATAGGTTCAGGGGGGAAAAGGAGTTTTAAAGCAGCACTGTATGTGTAGCAAATAAACCAAAACCTTAATAAACATTCTGTGTATTCCTGTTCCTTGCAATTAAGAAACTATAAAAAAGATGAAAGGAAATGACTTTTGACAATCTTACAAGCATTTCATCATTTCACTACATTTATTTTCTAAATCTATGGGGACAATTCTTTAGTTGTGGTTTGCTCCATGTTTGTTTTGATGTGCTTTCATTTCAGATCACAGTAGACTAGCATACAGTTAAGAAAACCCCCCAAATCAATCATTTAAATGTTAGACTGAAAACTCCTTAGAGACAAGGAATTATATTTCATATATGCTCATTGCATTGGCTTCTGATTCTGTACATGCAAAAAAAAAAACTGTAAGAATGAGTCATGCAAGAAAAGACTGTTTTGCAGAATTTTGTAGGATCTAAGACTCATAATAACCTTCAAAACATCCTCTCTCACATTTGGTTTGAAGAAGGAGGTTTAAGTGGGATTTTACTGATCTGGGGCAAAGAATGCAAGATTAAATTCCATATCTATCCTAACATTGATTCTTGGATCAAGCTGTTCACTCTTGAGGCAATCTATTAAACATTGAAATTCCGAATAAGTTGAGAAAGCAATTGTTCTACTAAAATATGCAAAAAATTTCATATTTCTACACCTTATCTTCAAGAGTACCTGAAGTTTCATAGATAATATGTAGGGGCTTTAGAAAAGAAATTCAAGGTTAAGATTTTGTTGCTCTAGGAATAAAGAAAAATACGACAAATATGTATGATATTGCAACAGCATCTAAATGTTGACTAATTTAATTGAATCTTATCTGAACGCATGTTTCACACTGGAATTTTCTCAACCTGATGGCTGAGATCCATTACCCAGCTTTAAGTTAAAAAACAGTTCAAGTGCAAAATATTTGAAACAATCTGTGCAGGGGGATTATTATCTGCTTCAGTATAATTGTTTATGGCTTGCATGGAGGAAAACACTAAATTGCTGCTATTTGTGGTATCAAATAGCTATGTTAAGCAAACAGTGTTTTTCCAGACAAAGACATTAAAAATCCTTTAGACCTCAGTTAACATTATGCAATCATTACTGAATTCCAGAAGCAGATATGCTACCTTTGTCCCTCAGCATTGTTGAGTTTGATCTGATTACTTGTAACCTACTATCAATCCTTTTGAGGATGGGAATTTAACTTGATTTTAGGCATCTAACCAAAGGTAATGCCTAGAAAATTACCTTAATTTATCTGTATAACAATTAGAGAGGGAGAGAGGTCTCCGGAGATGATTCAGACTTCTTCAGGTCAGACCCATCTTGGGATCTGTCTTGCTCTTTGTTTGCTATAGAGAGATGCCAAGTTTCATAACTGTCTAACATAGACACCTCAGTTGTATTCCTAATTTCAGTGGAGTAAACAAAGGCTTCAGCATTTGCAGTCCTTTTTTAAAATTACCATCAATCTTATTGACATTTTCTTGACTTCTTAGCATTTTTCCTACGTATTTATTTCCCTGATTTTAGTCTTGACTGTGATTCCTCTTTTACGATTATCAGAACAACCTGTAAGCCTCGCAAATATTTATCTTACTGCTCAGTTAAATGGCTAACATTTGCAAAGTCAGGAGCTTAAAACTAGGCTCCAGAGTCTGCATTTAGTTTTTTTCAGTGATATTTTTAAAATCTTGGCCAAAGCATCAAGTAATGCAATGTAACTAAGGTCCATCACTTAATTGTATTTTCATTTGAGTTTTAGGTACATACCACATATGGTACATAGGGATCTTGTATTCCTACTCTCTGTATCTAACTGTGATCACCAGCAGTAGGTACTCTTAACAGCTAACAGTGTGTTCATGGTAAAAAAAAAAATCCCAAGAAGAATTGGCAGCAGCCCCCGTTAAGCTCCACACCCTCCTTTGGTTAGCAGTCACAGGAGTCAGCTGCAGTTGGTTACAACTGATGATGCATTTGAACTGAGTCACACCAAATCTCTTCAGTTTGAACAATAAGCATAGCTGGATATGGCATGTTCTGCACTATCTCAGCTTTTGAGTGTCTGTTCCTTGGGAGCAGAGTTATTCCTTCTCAGTATAGCAAATCTGTTCAGCAGTTACA